CTGTTCACACATCTGCAGTTTAGAAACGGTTCCCATAGAAGTCAGTAGTCTGTAATCCGCACCTGAACCTGAAGGCACTGCTCAGAAATTGTACATGACTCTTTAAATCTGCACTGAATCAGCATCGCCAGTGCACTGGACATATGTGAACAAGCACCATAGGAAGCAGTGTTATTTCAAGCGCGTCCAATCCGCATATATGTGAACCGAAACTTGGGTATGAAAGTAGTCTACTATAGTCATAGTAATAAGTATCTTGGTGGGGGGAGGAGTCTAAATTAGAGGATTGGATTAAACTCTCATTTTAACCCTTTCGCTGTTGAGCTCTTTTTTTTTTTTTTTTTTTTTCCCCTACCCATGTTTAAAATGCACAAATGTGCCCTGAAGGCTACTTAAGCCCCGGCCCCCCCTCCCCCAAGCATTTTATATTCATAGAGACCATGTTCAATACACTCAGATTTTAGCACAAACACAATATAATACCAATTTTTGTTTGGTAAAATATAAAAGAGATTGCATCGAGTAATTGGACATCAAATATGTCAAGCCTCTCAAAATTTTGCACATCTGTGATTAAACCCATCTATAAACCTGACTGGAGAGAGAGAAACAATCCTACCTACCTACACCCTTGTGACTTTTTGTTCATACTTTTCTGTTTTTTCTCCTGCCTCTGTCCTCATTCCCATGCTGTCATTTTTAAAGATCCCATGATAATGCACATGTGTGAGATGAAGCACCCTACAAGCATCTGTAAATGCAAGATAATAGGAAGTTTTTTTTTTTGTTTTATTTTTTTTTCTCTCTCTCACAGATGCTTGTAGTGTTATGATGTCAGGAGCGCAATGTGACAATACAACAAGATCTTGGAGTTTAAGTACAGGCTTTCCCTGAAGGCAGTGGTGAGATGCTTCCCAGGTTACATCTGTATGGCCAGGTTTACATCACCACTACCTTCAGGGAAAATGGGAAGTGGAGGAAAAAAATAAAGCAAATTAAAAAAAAAAAACATTTTAAAGTGGTTGTTAATGCTGAAGGATTTTCTATCTTTATGCATGAAGGAAAAAAACCTTCAGTGTGCAGCTCTTCCCTCCCCCCCCCTCTCCCCCCCCCCCCCCCCCCAATACTCACCTAAGCCCAATCTCAGTTCAGTGATGTCGTGAGAGCAGCAGCTCTCCTGGGTCTCTTCCTCCTCATTGGCTGAGACACAGCAGAGGAAGCCATTGCTCCCTCTGCTGTCAGAGCCAGTGAGGATGGAGCCGGGGGTTGGGCTGGTTACATGACTTGTTGCATAGGTAGCAGAGTGCCAGTACTAATGCCGCACTACCTTTTTGGTGAACTGGCGAGCATCAGAGGCCCAGTATATCCTGGTCTTTTTATACCAGTACTGCAGTATCACTTGGTGATGTGGCGAGTCCCATCAGTGCAGTAAAAGCTGGTGCAGTGGCGAGCACAAGTAGTGTCCCGCATCCACCAAGAATTCGCACACAGGCCCATAGAGCCCCTAGTGTCCTTCCGGACGTGCTTGCAAATCCTGATTGGCAGCCTACAGATTCTGCATCACGTGTACTTCCCCCATTCACTGCCCAACCCGGAATTCTGGTGGAAACAGAAAATTGAAATACTCCCCTTAATTTTTTTTTTGAGCAGTTTTTCACAGAAGATTTCACAATTTGATTGTGGGCCAAAGCAATTTATATGCTCTACAATATATTGCCACAAACCCAAATTCAAACCTTGCCAGACCATTTGCATGGAAACCTATTAGTTTCCGAATTTAAAAATTTGGGGCCTAACCCTCAACATGGGCATTACAAAAAAAGCATGCGTTGCGGTCCACAGACTCGATTCATCATATTCCCAAGTTCTCTGCTACCACTGCTGCCATGGCCAGGCATAGATATGAGCCGATAATGCGCTTCATGCATTTCAATGATAACACACTTTGTCGTCCTCGTGGTGACCCTGAACATGACTGCTGTACAAAATTCAACCCCTCATAAACCACCTCACTGAGAAATTTGCAGATGTGTATACGACCCAGCAAAACATCTGCGCGGATGAGTCCCTTATTCACTTTACAGGCCGCCTTGCATTCATCCCCATCAAGCATGCCAGATATGGAGTCAAATTGTATAAGCTCTGTGAGAGGGCCACAGGCTATTTGTACAAATTTAAGGTTTGAGGAAAAAGACAGCGAAGTAGAGCCCCCCGACTACATGGGGAGCAGTGGCAAGATAGTTTGGGACTTGGGGTCGTCTTTGATCTGTAAGGGGTACCACTTATACGTACGTGGACAATCTCTATACAAGCGTGTCACTATTTAGGTATCTGTACAATCTTGGAATTGGCTCATGTGGCACCGTGTGACCTAATCGCCGGGGCTTTCCCCAACGGCTTGTAAATACCCGACTTAGCCTGCTTGAGGAATGATGAATTGCTCGCAGTGAAGTGGAAGGACAAACGGGATGTTTTCGTCCTGTTTTCCATTCACGCAGATGCGACAGTCCAAATGAACACGTTATCTGGCGTTGTTGGGAAACCTCTCTGTGTCCACGATTATAACCTTAACATGGGAGGGGTGGATTTCAACGCCCAAATGATAAATCCGTACCTAGTTTCCCGAAAAGCGCAACACTGGTACTCAAAGGTGTCTATTTCAGTTGGCTATATATAACTCTTTTGTAATTTACAAAGCAACTGGATCCTTCCTAAAATTTCAGAAAGAGATCATCATGGCCCTTCTGTATCAAGAAGGTGCTGTGGCCCAATCCTCAAATCCAAATGCAGTTAGCCGGCTGCATGAGAGGCATTTTCCAGATGCCCTCTCTATTACCCAAACCCAAAGATCACCCCAAAGAAGATGTGTCTGTAGCAAACACAGAATACAATGCGACACCTGCTTTTTTTTTGTCCCTCCTGCCCTGGCCAACCTGGTCTCTGCCTCAAGGACTGCTTCTGTCGCTACCATACACTAGTGGAGCCCACACCCAACAAGGACCAGCGACATACTGGTACATCACTGGACTATGAGTGGTTATACCAGGATGATGCCTGCAGCTGCGGACATCAGCCTGGTATAGTTTTTTTTTCAGCCGGCAATCTGCTTTCATGTAAAAGCAATCCTAGTGGCTAACTTGTAGCAGCCCCCCCTTCCCTGCTGCCTTCCACAGCCTTCTCGGGCAGTCAGGAACCTGAGAATGCAGCCAGTGTTTCTGCCAGCTGACCATAGAGCTTATTGGAGACCGGAATGGCGCCAATAATCTCTATAGTCTAAGAAATCGGAAGCTTTTATCACTTCAGTTTCGAAGAATATAAACAACACCATTTGTAAATTGGGAAAGCATCTAATCACACCGATCTTGGTGAGATTAGGTAGTGTAAGGGCAGAGGAGTTATCTAGAGTCTGATAGACACCAGATTTCCCAAAAATAAATATATGACAGTGCCCATTGAAGTTATAGGAGATATTTGCAATCCCTGGGATAGCATTAAAAGTGATTTAAGAAAAAAAAATGAAAGGGTCAGTGTAAAAAGTGACAACTTTGCATAGTAAAAAAATATATATTTTTGCCAATTTCCAAAAACTTGTGGGAAAAAAAATAAATCTTCCATGGACTCAACATGCCTCTCAACAGATAGCTTAGGGTGTCTACTTTCTGAAAAGGGGTCATTTGGGGGTGTCTGTACTGTCCTGGTATTTTAGCACTTCAAGAAATTTGATAGGCAGTCAGAAAGCAAAAGCTCTGTTAAATTCCATTATCTATGCCATAGTTTTGTAGATGCTATAACTTTCACACAATCCAATTAATATGCAGTTATTGAGATTTTTTTTTACCAAAGACATGTAGCAAAATACATATTGGCTTAAATATATGACGAAATTTGAGTTTTTTGGATATTTTTTATGAGAAAATATGAGGGGTTGGGGGGGGGGGGGGGGGTGTTTAAAAATGTTGTTTTTTTTTTTTTTGTTTTTTTTTTTATAGCGCAAAAAAAAAAAACCCAGAGGTGATCAAATACCATCAAAAGAAAGCTCTATTTGTGTGAAAAAAAGGACATACATTTCATTTATGTATAGCTTTGCATGACCGCACAATTGTCAGTTAAACTAGCGCAGTGCTGTATAGCAAAAAATACAAAAAATACAATTTGCTTAAATTGCAGTATATATACCATAGTTTGTAGATACTATAACTTTTACACAAAGCAATCAATATACACTTATTGGGGTTTTTTTTTTACTGAAGGCATGTAGCAGAATAAATTTTGACCTAAATTTATGACTAATTTTGAGTTTACTATATTTTTTTTTATAGCCGAGTTAAAAAATATTTTTTTCTTTCAGAATTTTCAGTTTTTTTTTTTTTTTTTTTTTTGTTTATAGCGCAAAAAATAAAAAGCGCACAGGCAATCAAATACTACCAAACGAAAGCTCTATTTGTTTGAAAAAAGGATGTAAATTTAATATGGGTGCAGCATGACCGCGCAATTGTCAAAGTAACACAGCGCTGAATAGCAAAAAGAGGCCTTGTCAGGAAGGGGGGTAAATCCTCAGGAGTGGTTTTTTCTACTCCTTTCTTTATTGCTGCATCTATTATGGTATCAAAGTTGTTTGCAAAACTGAAGTGGGAGTTGGGGCACAAATCCAGGCTTTTGGCTTTCATCCTATTTTAGTTTGTTTTTACCTTTGCTTTGTACTTTTACTTTCCTACAAAGTACTTTTAACGAAAGCTGACCTCACCACCAAAATTCAATTTATTTTATTTTTTTTCCTCAACAGCATCTTCCCTTTCCTTCTACTGTGGCATCATAGTTTTTACTTTTAATTTAATATGTCCCTGTCACAAAATTGTTTGTGACAACATTTGAGCTCTATTTTGGGATTTATTTCATCTTCATCATCTTTTTCAAGGATTACTTTCCCATTGTGTTATTGCTTATTTTTGTCACTTACTTTGACCAGAGTAATGATAAATTTTATAAATCTTCCCCTCTAGAACTGCATGATTGTGAATTACCAGATTTGGATTTTCTCAAAACAATGACCCACATTGTTTTTATTGACTTGGACAACTGGGCCCAGTTTTTTTCTCATCTGCCAGGATACCTAAACCAGGGAACATTTGTGTGGGGTTTTCAAGGTGAGCATTACTTTGATTTGTTTAAGAATAAAAACACATAGCATCACACATCCTCATGCGAATGAGTACACTTGTGTTAAGCTATGCTGCATTACGTATTGTTAGGCGGTCCCTATAAATGCAAGCTAAAATCCGCTAAAGGGAAATTGCTTCACCTAGGGTGATATACTTGTGTGGTTCAGTAAGATGCTCAAGTTAAAGTATAACTAAAGGTAAAACCTTTTAATTTAGGTTTGGTCAAACTGGAGATGGATTAGAATACCTACCGTATTTGCCGGTGTATAAGACGACTGGGCATATAAGACGACCCCCTACTTTTCCTGTTAAAATATAGGGTTTGGGCTATACTCGCAGTATAAGACTACCCCTCTTCCAACGCACACCAAAAATTAAAAAACATCAGATTTGATTTCAATATGGTATGGTATTCCAATGATGGGGCACGCTTCCTCCCACTGACACCAATGATGGGGCACTATTCCTCCCACTAACACCAATGATGGGGCACTATTCCTCCCACTAACACCAATGATGGGGCACTATTCCTCCCACTAACACCAATGATGGGGCACTATTCCTCCCACTAACACCAATGATGGGGCACTATTCCTCCCACGGACACCATTGATGGTGACCCATCATTAGTGTCAGTGTGTGAGGAATAGTGTCCCATCATTAGTGTCAGTGGGAGGAATAGTGCCCCATCATTGGTGTCAGTGGCAGGAATAGCACCCCAAAATTGGTGTCCGTGGGAGGAATAGCGCCCCATCATTGGTGTCAGAGCAACAAATCGTGCCCCATCATTTGGTGTCAGTGGGAGGAATAGCACCCCATCATTGGTATCAGTGGGAGGAATAGCGCCCATCATTGGTATCAGTGGGAGGAATAGCGCCCCATCATTGGTGTCAGTGGGAGGAATAGCGCTCCATCATTGGTGTCAGTGGGAGGAATAGCGCCCCATCATTGGTGTCAGTGGGAGGAATAGCGCCCCATCATTGGTGTCAGTGGAAGGAATAGCGCCCCATCATTGGTGTCAGTGGGAGGAATAGCATCCCAACATTGGTGTCAGTGGGAGGAATAGTACCCCATCATTGGTGTCAGTGGGAGGAATAGTGCCCCATCATTGGTGTCAGTGGGAGGAATAGTGCCCCATCATTGGTGTCAGTTGGAGGAATAGTGCCCCATCATTGGTGTCAGTGGGAGGAATAGTGCCCCATCATTGGAGTCAGTGGGAGGAATAGTGCCCCATCATTGGTGTCAGTTGGAGGAATAGTGCCCCATCATTGGTGTCAGTGGGAGGAATAGTGCCCCATCATTGGTGTCAGTGGAGGAATAGTGCCCCATCATTGGTGTCAGTGGGAGGAATAGTGCCCCATCATTGGTGTCAGTGGGAGGAATAGTGCCCCATCATTGGTGTCAGTGGGAGGAATAGTGTCCCATCATTGGTGTCAGTGGGAGGAATAGTACTCCGTCAGTGGGGGGAGGAATAGTGCCCCATCGTTGGTATCAATGGGGGGAGGAATAGTGCCCCATCGTTGGTATCAGTGGGGGGAGGAATAGTGCCCCATCGTTGGTGTCAGTGGGGGGAGGAATAGTGCCCCATCGTTGGTGTCAGTGGGGGGAGGAATAGTGCCCCATCGTTGGTGTCAGTGGGAGGAATAGTGCCCCATCATTGGTGTCAGTGGGAGGAATAGTGCCCCATCATTAGTATCAGTGACACCAATGATGGGGCACTATTCTTCCCAATGACACTTGCTGACTCCTGTTCTTGTATGGTACTGCTGCATCCAGCATATGTGGTTGCAGCAGCACCTCTGCACTGCACACTTACCCTCACTCGATTTTCGCGGGTCTGCTCGGCTCTGCCTCCTCGCCCGTGATTGGACCGCCTGTGTGCCTTACCTGAGCTACAGCTCTGGCGGCCAATCACCGGTGAGGAGGAGGAGCCGAGCGGCAGGAGCGAGGGAGTGGCCGGAGTGACTGAAGGAGCAGCGCTTCCTGGATGGATCGTCGTGGGAGCCAGGTAAGAGACTGCAGCCCTCTGCCCACCCCTGTACTTGGTGTCCCTTCCGTCGGAAGGGGGGGACGGCGGCAGCACCGCGCCACCCCCCCTAAAAAGTGCCCCCTGACGTGTACCGGTGTATAAGACGACCCCCGACTTTTGAGAAGATTTTCAAGGGTCAAAAAGTCGTCTTATACGCCGGAAAATACGGTATTTGATTTTTATTGCTGTCTGCCCGAATTTTGGAGACTTACCTTTTTATATTTGTTTGGTTTACCATTATCATCAAAACTGAAAATAAAAAAAACCTTCACCCATCAGAACCACTTTAACTTTGATCCTCCTTTTCGTCCTTGCATTGGATCATGTGACCAGTTGCCTAAGCTTTTGCTTATGCGTAATTTTTTCCTAGAAAATCAGCTTTATGTTGATACTTGCATATAGTTCCACCTAAAGGATAACTCCACTGTTGTGAGAAAAAAAAATAGCAAATACTCTTGCGACACAAGCCATATTGTAATTTATTAAAAATTGATCTGCAGCACTGTAATATCCTGTAATCTTCAATGCAATATGGTGACCTTGAGGCCTTCTGTACACAGTTGGTGTATAGACTGCCCCCAGAAATATAATTTCCTACTTGTCTGATTGGCTCAATGATTTTCCCATAAGTCTACACTAATTCAGATTTTAGGCATCCCCTGCAACAAAAAGAAAACAACAAAAAAATTAACTTTGGTGCAATGCTTCTAAAGGGTTAATCACTTCTAAAGGGATGCAGACAATGTAGCGTTCTTCATTAGAGCACACCAAGTGTATTAGCTGATCATTAATAAAAAAAAAAGAGAAAATCACTCCCATTCAAAATTGGTATCCAAAAGACATAGAAGAGCAAACAGTTTTTTTTCTTCAGCGCTGAAATGGGTAGGAATCTGCAACAAAGTTTGTTAAAATCTTTGTAGTGGTCATTGATCATCCAGAGGGGGTTGTTATTTTCTCTACAAAAACAAAGTACCCTTTTAAAGGATTTCTTACTGTATAGACTATAATTATGGAATGATGATTCCATGGTGTGGTTAATTTCTTTTTATTAGTCAGATTAACCAAATAGTTCAGTGACTGTGTGGTAGGTAGGTCTTGCATACCTTAAGTTGCCTTTTATAATGGCTTCTAAGCTTTCTTTTTTCAATTAGCAGCTGAGTGTTTTAGGCCCCATGTACACGGGACACTTCTGAATGATGGAAAATGTAGGTTAAAAAAGTATGTTTAGCTGCGTTTGCATAACGCTTTTATGTGCGTTTTGCGTTTAGAAGCGTTTTTTAAATATAAGCACAGGAGAACCTCCAGAATGCACTAAAAAGTGTTAAATTATTAACTATTTCAGACTGTTTCAGAGAAATACAGAGAGTAGAAGCAGAGAGAGCAGAATGTGTTGAGATAATTAGGTGGGAGTTGCTCATTAACATATCTTTGTTTCCAAGGGTGGGAAAGGTGTCTTGTGGTGTGAGTCATTAAGGCCACCTGGCAGGGGGTCTTCGTGAGGAATTTTAGGTGTGAATGGTCATTAATATATCTTTTGTTTCCAAGGGTGGTAGAGGTCTGAGGTGTGAATTGGTCATTACAATGTGTGAGGAGCTTAGTAGGAACATCCTGTGTTCAGTGTTTTGTCCATCTCAGTACCTTATAAACGCTTTGCATGCATTTTTCATGATTTAAAAAGGCTCTGGACAGCATTGGGAACTGAAAGAGTTTAAAAACAAATTTCAGACGCAAATGCTTATAAATGCGATTTGCCGCGTTTACAAGCATTTTGCGTTTGAAATGCTGATAAAATCGACTGCTGAACGCAAGTTTTCTGCATTCAAAAAAACAACTGTAAACTCAAATGCCTGTAACTGACTGTAAACGAAGATGTGTACATGGACACATAGGAAAACATTAGGGTGAGTTCAGGAGCTGCTGAAAAAAATGCTGAACAGCTCCTAAACGTGAATTTATCAGCTGCAGTGTACATGAGCCCTTAGACTGTATCAGTGTTCTCAACATTTTACTTAACCGTAGAATAAGTAAAGTAGACCTCTATTTAACACTATTTTCATTTTTAGGAGAGAAGAGTGCATGGAAACCTCCGATGGACTGCAAATTTTTCAAGCATCTTTCTAATACTGGTTGTTTTTTCCTTCACCCTCGCTGCTCTGATCGTTTACATTTTGCCATATGTATTCATGTAAGTTTCATATATCATTTATTTACTGGTTTTATGTACTGGTAGTGCAGCGCTATATGAAATTAAACCTTAATAACATAAAAATGAAAATAAGTCCACTGTAATATCAGTATACGGATTCCTCAGTCCACAATGAAAACCTCTAACGTTGTAGATGCAATCCGGTCTCCCGTTGTGGTAATATGAATAGATTGCCTACTCACCAGAAACCCAGACCAAAAACGCATATCTGGATCACCCCTACTGCAGATGTGTGTTTACACGAAACGCGTCTAAGAGGAGCCCCTGCACGCTTTGACGCTACGCCGCCGGATCAGGAGGTCCGGCGGCCCACATTAGATTTACACTGGTCAGTGCTTTTGGGTGCTTTTACTACTACTTGCAGCAGTCTCATACTGTATACAGTCATTTATGTATGTGTAATTTTGCTCAGATTTTAAATGCAATAAATTTACAGTTTTAAATACTACACTATGAGCACCTTTGTTCTCCGTATCTGGCACTGAGCCTTCACACCTCAGCCCCAGTGTTTTAGGCACTATTGCAGATTTGGAGAAGTAGGCACTTTGAGACCAGATCGGTATCCTTCTCTTATACCGTTGAGGGACCACCAGAGGATTCCATCTCCGGGCTGTCTTTATCCGAGATCCGAGGATGCATGTGATCCAGATATGCGTTTTTTTGGTCTGGGTTTCTGGTGAGTAGGCAATCTATTCATATTACCACAACGGGAAACCGGATTGCATCTACAACTTTAGAAGTTTTCATTGTGGACTGAGGAATCCGTATACTGATATTACAGTGGACTTATTTTCATTTTTCTGTTATTAAGGTTTAATTTCATATAGCGCTGCACTACCTGTTTTTATGAATTTATTTGAAAGGGTCTTGTAGTTCCTTTTTAGTGCATTGGTCGCTTTCCGGATTGCGCTCACTAACCTACATTTCCTGGTTTTATATACTGGCTGACATTGTAGTTTAATTTTTCTCTGCTAGGCAACATCTGCATTATCTTACTTTTACTTTTTCTCTGTTTCTTCCGTAAAGTCAAAGATAATTGTATCCTCTGTTATGTATTTATTGCTGATGGATTCCCCAAATGATTATATGGGAAATGTGCTGCAAAGAGAGGGTGAACAGGGAAGGTTGGCTCACAACAGTGCTCTGAGCATCATCTGGACTTGGAAGTATGGGGCAATTTGTGCACAGGGACAAATACAGCAAATACAATTGATTAAAAATCCCTGTACAGGCACTCTTAAGTGACATGCTTTAAAAAAGGTTTTTAGGCTCCAAATACACTAGCTTGAAAATATGTTCCTAGCATCTAACTATGAGCGTTTTTTTTTTTTTTTTTTTTTTTTTTTTTTTTTTTTTGGGGGGGGGGGGGGGGGTTGCATTCGTGGGAGCGATTTTGCTGGCAGAAAGAAAATGTTGAATGCCAGTCACTCTTTGTGTCACCTCAGGGGTTGGTTAGTTGTTTTTGGCTGGGTATATTTTATTTTCTTGTTGACTGTAACGATTTCATAGCATTTGTCTACTTTTTTTTAAGTTCGTGCAGCTGGTTGTTAAGCAGGGCGGGTCGGGACAGAAGAGTATCTGTGCCTGTTGTCTCCAGCCTCTCCCCCACATAGGGTTGCACATCGTGGGTTTGTCCCACACGACGATTTTTGTGGGTGCTTGAGATTTTCCCTCTCGCCTATCATAGTTTTTTTTTTTCTGGGATCCTTTCTCCAATTTTCTCTGCTCTGACGTCTCTCGTTTCTTTCTGGTACTTTATTTTCTCTGGGTTTCTAGCCCATTCCCCACATACACCCCCCCCCCCCCCTTCCTTTTTTTTTCTCGCTTTCTCTGCTATCTTTCTTTGTTTTCTACTGTAGTGTCTTGTTTGTTTTTTTTTGTTTTTTGTTTTTTCCCCCCTCACGGTCATGTCTCCCAGGCCATTCCTCACTTGGCCGGTTGGACGGGACTCTACCCGCCTGGTGTCTATTAATGTAAAGGGCCTGAATACTCCAGAGAAACGTTCTATAGCACTCTCTAATTTACATCATTTAAAAGCTCAGATTGGATTCCTTCAGGAGACACATTTTCGTGCAGACAAAATACCCAAGCTGACCGATCGCCTCTTCCTAACTGTATATCATGGCTGTTCTTCGGAATCTAAGTCTAAGGGAGTGAGTATCCTTATCCATAAAAGTGTGCCGTGGACCTTCAGGAATCAATGGTGTGATGCAGAGGGCCAGGTTCTATTTGTCAAAGTATATGCTGGGTAACCAGAGGTTTACTTTAGTGGACTTATATCTTCCTAACTCGCGCCAGATCATGTTTCTCGAGCAGACTCTCGAAATTGGAGGAATTTGTGGGAGGTACTTTGATGGTGGGAGGAGATTTCAATTTCACATTTGATATGCTTCTGGACGCTTCGAGGGTTTCGTCGCAGTTGTCATACTCTGCCTTGAAGCATCTGAAGCGTTCCCTTAATACTTTGCAATTAGTTGATGTCTGGAGGGTTCTGCACCCTACCCAGCGAGATTACATGTTCTACTCCCACCCTCATGACTCTTATTCCAGGATTGATTTTATATTGTTCCCTCAGTCCCTTTTGCCTGTGGTCAAAGCGGCTGACATAGGTTCGATAACTTTCTCGGATCATGCCCCGGTGTGGGTGGATGCTAATTGATCACCCGTTACCCCCAGACATTGGCACTGGAGGATAAATGACTCTTTTACAAACTCCGGAGGTAGTAGAGAACTTATTGGCGGAATTGCGCTCTTTCTTTACGGCAAACGTAGACCCAGACTGTACCCCAATGACGATTTGGGAGACGCACAAAGCCTATGCCAGGGGGCTTCTTATCAAATGGGTGCCAGGCTGAAAAAGGAACAATCACAACAGGTGTTGAAGTTGTTGGACAAAATTAGATTGTTAGAAGCGGTTCACAAACAGTTGTTGGCTAATACGTCCTTGGCGGAACTTACAGTCCTGCTTGACCAGTTGAGCTCTCTGGCCATGGATAAAGTGAAGGCGATGCTTGCTAAATGTCGCCGTTCTTTCTATGAACATGGGAACAAATGTAGCAAACTTCTGGCTTGAGCCTTGCGGAATCAAAGAGCTAGAGCGTTTATCCCAGAGCTTAAGGACGAGCCTGGTAGGATGGTCCATTTAGCGGGCGATATAGGGGGTGTATTCCAGCGATATTATTAATCACTTTATAATTTGTCGGCACAATCATCATTGGGGGGGTCGGCTGGAGTAGAGAATATTCTGCGTTATTTGATGGACTCGGACCTACCGAATATACAGTAAAGGAAAGAAGTATTTGATCCCCTGCTGATTTTGAATGTTTGCCCACTCACAAGGAAATGATCAGTCTAAACATTAAATGGTAGGTGTATTGTAACACTGAGAGACAGAATAGCAACAAAAAATTCAAAATAAATGCGTGTCTAACAAATTATGCACTGATTTGCATGTTCATGAGGGAAATAAGTACTTGATCCCCTTCACAAAACATGACTTGGTACTTATATACTGTACCGGAGGAGGCAGTTGCTTCCTTGGATGCTCCCTTGATGGCAGAGGAGTTCGGAGTGGCCCTTTCTCACATGAACACGGGCAAGGCGCCAGGTCGGATGGCTATTCCTTGCTATATTACAAGGCGTTTGGTGCGATACTTTCCCGCATTTTCTTGCAACCTATAATGGGGTAGGGACGGGAGATGATTTCCTTTGGGATATGCTATGGCCCACATCACGTTGATTCCGAAGGAGGGCAAGAATAAGCTTTTGAGCCAAAATTACAGACCTATATCGCTCTTAAATGTTGATCTTATATTGTTTACCAAAATTTTAGCAATGCGGCTGATGGAGTATGTCCCTGCCCTGGTACATGATGACCAGGTGGGTTTTGTTCCCTCCAGGGAGGCACATTTTGCCAGCAAGCGCAAATTGCCAATGTTATTACTTTCCACTGACCCTGAGAAGGCCTTTGATTGTGTGGGCCTGACCTTCCTTCAGGAAACCTTGGGACATATTGACCTAGGGCAGCGGATGCTCAGTTGGAAGCGGGCTATTTACTCGTGCCCTTCGGCTCAAGTGAAGGTAAACCGTCATCTCTCCTCTCCATTTGCGATCATCAATGGGACCCGCCAGGGCTGCCCCCTTTCACCATTGATTTTTATTCACTCTGGAGCCATTCCTATGAATGGTGCAAAAGAATTGCGTGACATTTTTGTCGACTTCCGTTTGGGTCCCAAGGTTGCCGCTTACACAGATGATTTACTATTTTTTTTTCTCCAACCCCTTGGTCTCCCTCCCGAAACTTCTTTCGGAACTGAAGTCTTTAACAGCAAATGACTCCTCAGCGGAGTTCCTCTCTTACAGCGGAATGTAAACAAAAGAATTGCCAATAATAATTTGAGGAAAATAAACAGCATGCCTCTCCCCCAATCCATACTAGGCCCTTCAGTTCTAATATGAATTTAAAGGGGAACCCTACGCCAATTTTTTTTTTTTAATGGCGTGGGGTTCCCCCAAAGTCACTACCAGATCATTATCTGAGCATGCAGCCTGGTAGTCCAGGAAAGGGAGGGGATGCGTGAGTGTCCCCCCTCCTGAACCATGCCAGGCCACATGCCCTCAACATAGTGGGAGGGGTGCTTGCTGATGGGGACAAGGACCTTTTCCCTACAACCCTGGGTGGTGGTTGTGGGGGTCTGCTGATCAGAATTTGGAAGCCCCTTTTAACAAGGGGGTCCCCAGATCCTCCCCAACTATGTGAATCAATCAGATTCACGACAGCTTTGCTTCTCTTCCTGGTGAGCTGTGATTGGTCCACAGATCTCACATGGTACATTGGGCCGATCATAGCACCCTATACCTTGTGACCAGCTCTAGCCAATCACAGATCACTGTTATTTTGAACTGTCTTAAACTTAATCCATTCATGACAGTTCTAAGCAAGCTTTGCAGAACAATAATCTTAAGAAATCTTTAAAAAAAAAAAAATCCCTGATCATTCCCCCAGAGTAGTACAGTGTTACTATGGTAACATTTGTACTACTCTGATAAGTGTGTTTTGGGGTTTTTTTTGTTTTTTGTTTTTCTCTTTTATAAATGTGTAAAAATTAAATAAATTATGTTTTGAGAATTTTTTTTAAGGGTTTTTTTTTTTCTTTTTAACTACTTGCCGACCGTCTGCCTGCAATGCGCGGGCAAGTGGCGTCTCTGAGCAAAGCGACGTACCCTTATGTTGCTTTGTATTTCGGGGTGTGAACGTGCCTGCAGCCCCTGCTGCCCACCCTGTCGGTCCAGGGAGAGAAAAGAGAACATGCACTACATTTTACACACACATGTTAGATTAGCACATATAACCCGTTTTTCACCCCAGTAATCCTTTGATCACCCTGTCACCTAGCCAGTGCCATTAATACATTGTCAGGGTATAGAATTTTTCATTGAGCACGATATTACTGCCACTAGTGACATCAGACATTGTCGGGGTCTGTAAGCTCCCCTCCCAGCCAGGGTCAGCTACTGTTAGATTGCCTGCACACTATTCCACTCACACTATAGGTTGCTGATCACCGCCATTACTAGTGTAGTGTTTGTATAGATCAATATATTGATCACAAACGGAACTATACTAGTGCATCCTTTGTATAGTACAATAAAAGGGAACAGTGAAAAAAATAAAAAAACAAATTTAAAGAAAAAAAAAATCACGTGGTATCCCCATACTCGAGGTAGCAAAAAATAAATTGTCCTTTGTATAAAATTTTGTGGCAAAAAAATAAAATCTTCCATGGACTCAACATGCCTCTCAGCAAATATCTTGGGGTGTCTACTTTCCAAAAAGGGGTCATTTGGGGGGGGGGGGTTGTACTGCCCTGGCATTTTAGCACCTCAAGAAATGTGATAGGCAGTCAGATAATTCCAGTATATATACCTTAGTTTGTAGACGCTATAACTTTCACATAAACAAATTAATATACACGTATTGGGATTTTTTTTACCAATGACATGTAGCAGAATACATTTTGGCCTAAATTTATGACTGAGTTTATTGGAGATTTTGTTTTATAACCGAAAGGAGAAGATATCTTTTAATTTTTTACATTTTTGGTCTTTTTTCATTTATATCACAAAAAATAAACCCATTGATGATCAAATACCACAAAAAAGAAAGCTCTATTTGTGTGAAAAAAAGGACATACATTTTGTGTGGGTACAGTGTTGCATGACCATGCAATTACCAATTGAAATAGCGCAGTGCTGAATAGCAAAAAATGGCTTGGTCAAAAAGTAGGGGTAAATCTTCCGGAGGGCGAGTGGTTAATAAAGGACTTGTCACAAACTGTGTTTTTTATTTATTTTTGACTTTTGGTGAATGAGTAGGGGTATTTTCTTTCACATCGGGGGGGATACGTGGGCCCCCTTGTTAAAGGAGGTTTCCGGGTTCCGATAAGCCCCCCCCCCCCGCCCCCAACCCAGAGCACTCCCCCTCCCATGTCAGGCTGCAGGTTTGGATTAGGGTCTGGTATGGTTTGGGGTGATTTTTGGCATGGGGTTCTCAAAATCTATACCAGACTCAGAGGGCTCACACACAGTTTTTTTTTCTCAATTTTTAATTGCTGGCAATTCTTTTGTTTACATTCAGCTGTCAGCGGGAAGTCCTGCTGACAGCTGAGGAGCCATCTGTTAAATGCAGGCAGCAAAACGCTGGCACAAAAAAAGTAAAAATGCCAGGCAAAAATGGACATATGGGTGTGTGTTTCAGGTCTTAGTGGGCATGGAGCCTTATTGATTGTGTTTTTTCTTTCAGGCTGGTCGTTCAGATGAGCTGCTTCCTAAGCAAATTCCTTTTACTGTTCTCTCTGGTGATGAAGGTGTCATGGAATTGGAGAACCAGTTCAAGAAAACTCAGCGTTCAGCTCATATCCTATACCCTCACCATATGGGAGGAGATGTGATGTGTGCTTTACTTAACAGCATATCAGAAACTACACACGGTATGTTTATATCTCATATAACTCAGTCTACTCTGCAGTTTAAGGTGTTTTACAAAAGGGGAAAAGCTCATCACCTGCGTAGGAAACACACAGGTTTAATTCAAGTTAACTAAGTGTTCGTGACCATAGAAAAGCAGTGGCTCCGCCATTGCAAATATGCTTTTTTAAACTTTTTTGCATTTGTATTTAATATAATATCGCCATGTTTTTAGCTCACAGAGCTGAATGTTTTCTTTTCTACAGGCATACTTGATGAAGACATGGAAATAAATTCCATGGGACAGGATGAAGGTTTGTTCTAGTCTCGCGAGCATGATTTTTTTGTTTTGTTTTTTCAGAATCCTGCATGTTTGGTAGTTTGTCTTCCTGCTGTGCTCCTTTGTATCAGTTTTGTTTCTTTTGTCAATTAACCTACATGTTTTACTCTAGTAGGATCTTTTTGCTTCCGCTTTCCAAAATAACACTTTGATTAGTTGTGTGGGATGTTAAAGGATAAGTTCACCTTTTGTAACATGTTACATGCTACACCCATATTCAGGTTGTAATATGTAACACATTACAGATATAGCTTATTATTTGTATTTCTTATTTGAACAGAGCGATTACCATTCCATTGGAACGAGTACTTTCCTTTAAGGATCCTACAGAAAAAGCCCTCTCCATAGTCTTTGCACTCACTGGCACTATGCTACACTCTTTCCACAGACACATTTTTGACTGGCCTCTGTCTCTTAAGTGGGATTTGGCTGCTACTGGCATAGGCCAACAGCTGATATCTAGTTTTAGATCATTGTACAAGCTAGTCATGGACATCACTGGCTATAAGAGTTTTGGCGAAAAGGACAGGTTTATAAACCTACACCTTTCCTTTGCAAAAAAAATCCTTTTTGCCAACACGTGGTAACTGCTACGGTATTGATACCTCCAATGTTTTTTTTTTTTTTTTTTGTAAGTCTACAAAGGCTGACATTCTCAAGAATGTTAAGCCTACAAAAAAAACCCTCCTTAGCATAAAAGTGCACCTCACTTTTCAAAGTGGAGGGATGTTCTTCTGGCTTTTGCAGACATTTAGAAATCTTGCATCCACATTGCTTGGATGCCATTTCTGATATTTCGGGCTTAGATGTGACATTTTCACCCCACTCCCTCCTCGCTTCCTGGCTTTCAATCTTCCAGTGTTCTTGCAATGCCTTGCAAACCTTCACCAGTCCTGAAGACCAAGGAGTCCTCATCCAAGTTCCTCCTGCAAAGGAATTCCATAGGTTAAATTGTGAACCTGAGAATTGAGGAGCCCTTTACTGCCTATAGCGGGCAGAAATAGGTGAATGGGATTTTGAAGTAAAATCAGGTTTTATTACAAATTTTTAAATAAGACAAAGGGCTTATTTTAAATACAATGGTCTTATGTACAGTTAGGTCCCTATATATTTGGACACAGACACAATTTTAGATTTTTTCAGGTATTTTCCAAAACATACTTAAGCTATAGTTATATAATGGATATGGGCTGAAAGTGCACACTCTCAGGTTTAATTTGAGGGTATGTACATCTAAATTGGAGTAAGGGTTTAGAAATTACAGCTCGCAAGAGTAGCCACCCCCTTTTTCAAGGGACCAAAAGTAATTGGACAATGGAATCAAAAGCTGTTTCATGGCCAGGTGTGAGCTATTCCTTCATTATTTCTTTATCAGTTAAGTAGGTAAAAGATCTGGAGTTGATTCTAAGTGTGGTATTTGCATTTGGAATCTATTTCTGTGAAGCTACATCATGCGTTTAAAGGAGCTGTCCATGCAAATGAAACCGCCCATTGTAAGGCTCCAAATACTAAACAAATCCATCAGAGAGATGGCAGCAACATTAGGAGTGGCCAAATTACCAGTTTGGTACATTCTGAGGAAAGAAGAATGCACTGGTGAACTCAAACATTAAAAGGCACGAACGTCCATGGAAGACAACAGTAGTGGATGATCGCAGGATCCTCTCTACTGTAAAGAAAAACCCATTCACAACATCCAAACAAGTGAAGGACACTCTCCAGGAGGTGGGCGTATCATTGTCAAAGTCTACAATCAGGAGAAGATTTCACGAGAGCAAATACAGAGGGTTCACCATAAAGTACAAACCATTCATAAGCCTGAAGAATAGAAAAGCCAGATTGGACTTTGCCAAAAAAAAATTAAAAAAAAAAAAGCCAGACCGGTTCTGGAAAAGCATTCTTTGGACGGATGAAACTAAGATTAATCTGTACTAGAATGACAGGAATAAAAAAGTGTGGAGAAGGCTTGCAACTGCTCATGATCCAAAGCACACAACGTCATCTGTAAAACATGGTGGAAGCAGTGTGATGGCAGGGGCATGCATTGCTTCCAGTGGCACTGGGTCATTGGTGTTTATTGATGATGTGACAAGACAGAAGCAGCCGAATGAATTCTGCAGTGTTTAAAGATATACTGTCAGCCCAGATTCAGCCAAATGCAGCAAAGTTGATTGGATGGCACTTCACAGTACAGATGGACAATGATCCAAAACACACAGCAAAAGCAACCCAGGAGCTTTTGAAGGAAAAGTGGAATATTCTGCAATGGCCTAGTCAATCACCTGATCTCAACCCAATTGAGAAAGACCCATAAAGAACAACTGAAGACAGCTGCATTTAGAGCCTGGCAAAGCATCAGAAAGGAGGAAACCCAGTCTTTGGTCATGTCCATGGGTTCCAGACTCTAGGTAGTCATTGCCAGTAAAGGATTCTCAACAAAACATAAAATGTTCCTTTTTAAATCATATTCATATGTCCAATTACATTTGAACCCCTGAAAATGGAGGGATTGTGTATAAAAATGGTTGCAGTTCCTAAAATTTGTAAAGTAAAGAAGAAAGTGCAAGAAATAGAAAACCAAGAGCAATGCAAAAATGGAGCAGTTTCTCACAAACAGCCAATCAAGTTTTACATATAAAAAAGAGAGAATTTGCTGTAGACCAGCACTTTTTTTGCTTCATTCTTCAGACAACCCCTGGTTTCTGCTTTATAGTGTCTGTCTGGGCTCATCATCTGCTGCCATATAATTTCTGGGCTCATCATCTGCTGCAACCTCAATCTTTGCACCTTAGCTACTACAGTATTTTTGTTTTATTTAATTTGTTTTGTTTTTATGCTGTCTTTCCATACTTGGAAACCATTTTAGATTTTAGTGCACTATACCACATCTCTGTGAAACTGTAACAAAAGCAAAGGAAATAATCTACTTCTTATATGCATTGTCAAGCTGGTTAGAAAGATCCCCCTTCCTAGAAAACTCATGTTTAAACACATAAATGTGTAAATAGGCCATGACTTGTGTTTTTTGTAATGGATTAAAATTTACTATGAAAAGTTCTTTCCTTGAGAATAAAGTCTGTAACTGACAGGCTGATTTTAATATGTATAATTCCTTTTCTACAGATGCTGCTCTTAAAGAAGCAATGAGAAGAAGCCTACTGGAAATGTAGCCCTTTTTGGAATGGATCTTGAACACTCCTGGTTCCTTATAAAAATAAAAGGAATATTTATCATCAGTGCTGCTGCCTTAAATAAAACCCATGCTTTTTCTGTTTAACCTAATAGTCAATCTAATACTTAAATTATGTTCATATTCTGAACTACATGTGTGCCATTGCTTTTGGGATTCCAGACCTGTTCTTTGCATTAAACATGGTATTGCAAAGTTAGTATATTGCCATGAAGAAGATTTTGTGAAGGGCAAATTATCCAACTTCAGGTGTACATTGGTCATTGGGTGGGACTGTGTTTTGGATCCTCTGGGAGCTCTCATACCATTAGGAAGTTATTAGCCAGTATTGAATAGCTTCCTTTCAGGGCCAAGATTAATAAAGAAAAATGAAAAAAATAGTTTCACTTGGTAGTTGATAAATGTTGTGTACCGCTGTCAGATTTGAAGAAGGAAACAACTGGCAGTGCTTTAAATTGCTTTACCTTATTTGACTACTATGCAGGAAAAGTTATATATACATCACCCTCCCTAATACTGTAGCTACTTGGCAACAGGACTTTAAAATAAGTCAGTGAAGACAGCTGAAAACACTTTTTTGAAAGTAGAGTTCCAGAATTAACCTTAACACTGCTCCTACCCACTTCTAACACATACTAAGTAAACTGTAGAAGAATAATGCATTTACTTTGGTCCAGTTGTGTGATCTCCCCGGTGTTGCCCAGTGCAGGCTACAGGGGAGAGGAGAGCGCTCCAACAATGGCTATAATGCCTAAGTGGTGATGTTACCCACAGGCTTACTATAAACCATCTGTTGTCAGCGCTCCCTCCTCTTCCCTGAAGCTGTTGAACACTGATGGTCACTCACGTGACCAAAGCAGCAAGAAAATAGGAAAGTTTTATATACATCTTTTATATACAGGCTAATTAGTATAGGTTTTGGAAAGGGGTGGGAGCAGTTTTAGGATTCGTTGGTGATATCCCAGAATTCCACTTTAAGCTGGGCATAACATGAGATAATCCTGGTCTAGTCTAGCCAGATGAGCTGACTGATAGGAAAAACAATGGGGCAAACCTTGCCGCATTGGTATTGCTGCTATTTAAAATATGTGTGTGGTGGTGGTGGTGCTGGATGTCCATCTTCATTCCATTCACTATATATATGCTTGGGTAAGCATACATATGCAAGATCAGTCAGCTGCCAGGGTCCCTTCTAAATGACAATGGCCATGTAACCAAGTCTAACTCACTGGGATAATTGCTGTGTAGCTTTAAATCAAACCATTCCTAAGCATAATTTATTCAAAGGTAAACATGAACAGCAGGTTCCTTGGATCTATTAGCTACCGAAATCCACTACCACAGCCCGTTAAAAAAAATTATACTCCTCCCCTGCCAAAACAATGCCATGTTTACCACTTGACCCATGAGTGCTGTTACTTTGGGGGAAAGCCTATCTCTGTTCAAATTACTAATTTTTAGAAAGGTTGTGCTTGACTAGACCTTTTTTTTTTGGTCCAGAGTCTGAGCTGTGTATCCGGTGGCATACTAGGAGAAGCTGGTGACTGTCTGCTGTCAAATTTTACCATTGCTCTGATTACTTTGTTCTTAGTGCAGGAATTCTTTAGAGAAGGTTTGTACTCTTATAAATGTAGTGTGCTACTGCTGACATTGGTTTTTGAACATGCAAGCTACTTGATTGTCATGCTGATACAGTGGTCTTTGCACTTTGTCAATGACCTGAAACAATTGCTTCTGTCTGGAACTCTGACTTTTCTGGCTTAGGCTGTGTTTAAAGTAGAGAAATACCATTTTAGAAGGAAATTACAACATGCTTCTCTCATTACAAGTCTTCTATAAGACCAGCTGCAAGCAAGTAGGTGACCATTACGAAAAGGCAGTGTCAATTGCCATGTATCTAAAATGCTTTCACTTTCAATTGTGTAATTCTTCATTATTATGTAATACTTCAATATTATGTATTTGGTATGGTTATATGTATGTAATTTTGTCTGTGAGGGACAAATTAGGTAATATTATGCTTGCTTGTATTTAGGTTGCCTAATAAATATTCTGTTAATTTTGTATGTACCTGTTCTTCTGAAGTGTGGAATGCTGTCACTGAAAACTTGTCACTTGCTGTTCTTCAGTTTTGACACTTGTTCTTTCTCTGTTAGTCCACATTCACACCTGTGTGATTTGTCATGTGACATTGCATGACACTAGGAATCCCATTATCCTAATCTTACAGGAAAGGACACATAAACCCTGGGTATAGGCTGGTACCTTTAGGTGACTGGACAGTGGCAAAGCTTTGCTAGAAACCTCCCCTTAGGCATACCTCTATACCCCCTACCCCACTACATGAGACTTCAAGCAATAGTAAACCACAAAAAATAAACAAAAAAATTCTTCTTTCTGCAAGTTAAGAGTATAATGTGCTAGTATGCAGCACATATTTGTACATTATGAAAGACTTACGTAAAACAAAGCCCTCCATGACGCGTTATCACAGCTGACAAGGCTTTCATCCTTCCCCCGGTCTTCCTTCCGGGTTCACGGGCTCTGGTTGTTTGAATGGCAAAACTGCGATTGCGTCACTCCCGTGCATGGGCTCAGAAGTCGTGGCCTTGGCACAGCTTTCTCAATGGATGACATGTCAGGCGACAATTGCCAAGACCGGAAGTGATGCAGGAGCCACGGCCCAGTTGTCTGTCATTTTTAACCTAATGTAAGTGCAATAATGTTTAATTAAAAAATCCTTTTTTTTTTAAATATGCTGTGTTTACCATCAGAAGCACTAGGGGGAACATTGAGTAGTAGTGGAACGGAGCCTGTGATTCACCCCAGTGTGGGGAAAGTGTGTTTTGATCTAGTTACATGACCAAAGTAACCACTTGTCAAGCTCTATAAATTGTTCACCAACGTCCCAGATCATAGAGAAAATGGAGATTCTCCCAAAAATTGTTCGGGACTTTATTGGCAAAGAAACCAAGTACTGAGGTAAAATTCCAAGAATTTTATTCAACACGTTTAGTCCGTTAAAAATAATATAATAGCTACATTATAGTGAAGACATATACATATGAACTTGGGCATGTAGATAATCCTGTTAAGATCCACTAGAGTTGATGATTAGTTATATGGGACACCATACGCATTTCAGAATAATTTTCTTTCCTCGGGGGTGTATTAGTGAGGAGGATGGTAAAGATACCTTCTATAACAAAATAAATAAATCACAATATAATTTTTTTCAATATACTTATGATTCTATTCATATTTAATTGTAGCTTGGTTTGAGCTGTCGCATTAGGTGGCCCCAGTGTGAGGGCAATTGGCCTCTCAGTGGTGTTTCCCTTATCCTGGCAGGTCTGGCAGACATTGGCAGATTGTTTTTACATAATTATGGCTACTAACAATGCAAGTGCATAGGATGGTATGTACTTACTTTTTTGCAACTAAGGTTAACCATTTTGGAACAGCATGTTAAAATGTATATGATTTTTACTGTGATTTATTTATTTTTCTTATAGAAGGTATCTCCACCATCCTTCTCACTAATACACCTCTGGGGAAAGAAAATTATTCTGAAACACATTGGGTGTTCCACAGCACTAATTATCAACTCTAGTGGATCTTAAGAGGCTGTTCTACAGTGGATATAAAGTCTACACACCCCTTTTAAAATGTCAGGATTCTGTGATGTCAAAAAAATGAGACAAAGATAAATAATTTCAGAACTTTTTCCACTTTTTAATGTAACATATAAACTGTGCACTCAGTTGAACAACAAACTGAAATCTTTTAGGTGGAGGGAAGTAAAAATAAAAAAATTAAAATACGGTTGCATAAGTGTGCACAGCCTTAAACTAATACTTTGCTGAAGCACCTTTTGGCTTTATTCCAGCACTCAGTCTCTTTGGGTATGAGTCTATCAGCATGGCATATCTTGACTTGGCAATACTTGCCCAACCTTCCTTGCAAAACACTCCAAATCTTTCAGATTGTGAGGGCATCTCCTCTGCACAGCCCTCTTCAGATCACCCCACTGATTTTCAATTGGATTCAGGTCTGGGCTCTGGCTGGACCATTCCAAAGCTTTTATCTTCTTCTGGTGAAGCCATTCCTTTGTTGATTTGGATGTATGCTTTGGGTCGTTGTCATGTTGAAAGATGAAGTTTCTCTTCATGTTCAGCTTTCTAGCAGAAGCCTGAAGCCTTTGTGCCAATATTGACTGGTATTTGGAACTGACCTTGACTAAGGCCCCAGTTCCAGCTGAAGAAAAACCGCCCCAAAGCATGATGCTGCCACCACCATGCTTCCCTGTGGGTATGGTGTTCTTTTAGTGATGTACACTGTTGTTTTTGTGCCAAACATATTTGGAATTATGGCCAAAAAGTTCAACCTTGGTTTCATCAGTTCATAACACATTTTCCCACATGCTTTTAGGAGACTTCAGATGTGTTTTGCAAAATTTAGCCAGGCTTGGATGTTTTTCTTTGTAAGAAAAGGCTTCCATACTTGCCAGATATTCCTGTAGCTCCCTTAATGTTCATGTAGGACTCTTGGCAGCCTCCCAGATCAGTTTCTTTCTTGTCTTTTCATCAATTTTGGAGGGATGTCCATTTCTTGGTAATGTCACTGTTGAAGCCCTAAAATGCCAATACCGTACAATACCCAAAATGACCTCTTTTTGTAAAGTAGACAGTCTTGAGGCATTTACTAAGAGATGTGGCAAGTTTTTTGTGTTTTTAAGTTGTAATTGTTCCCAATTTTTGTAACTGAAGCTTTTGAGGCAGGGCTGGCTTTAAGGTGGACCAGTGCCTTGAATACAATGTGCATTGCGGTGCAGTGTGCTGAAAAAATACAGAAAAACCTAGTTTTCTTGCTTTGAGGCTCATTCAGATTGGCTTCCTCTCACAGCTCATATTTCATTGCAGTGAAAGATGATTTCTGATAGGATGCTCTAAGAGCAAGTTATTTACATTGCCTTTCCAAACAAACCCCTAAGAGCATTCTGGTATTCTTCACTATGACATTTCTATACTAAACTGGGTAAGGATTTCTCAAAGTTTTTGGAGAACCTTCAGGGCCAGTTCACACTACATGCATTTTAGTGTGCTTTTTTTTTTTATGCATCCACAATGCACAGAAAGTAGGTTATATGGTTGTCAATGTCATAGTTTACATCAGTGTTTGCATTTCAATTGCGTTCCGGTTGCAAAAAAAAAAAAGTAGAATGGGCTGCATTTTACCTGCACAGTACTGTACTGGAATGCGGTACAACACACTGGAATGCACATGGCCCTATTTACATTGAAGAAAAAAGGGAGGGGGGGTGGGGGAATTAACCGCAACACACCAAAAATGTGTCAAAAAACATGCACGCTCAAATGCTTCTGGAGTGTGCTTCACTTTGCCATACATACAAAACTACACTCTGCCATACATCACGGTGTCACACCTTGCGTTTCCATACAGTTTGAATGGTACCCCACGCACCTGCATTGTAGAACATCTTCCATGATAATACACTAGCTGCATTAGAACAAAAAGGTACACTGCTTTATTTAAAAATGGTCAGATGCAGTTTTGGTCACACTGGAGTGCCCTGCTGCCTAAATGCAATGACTTAACATGTGCATGTTAATGCACATTTCATCCTGTGTTAACGCACTAGTGTGATCCCAGCCTAAAAGTATTAAGGGAGTTAAACAGACAATATTAAACTTGTCTGTATCTCTGTTACTTTTAGGACTTATTAACACTTACTGCAATGCACCATGTACTCATTAGGGCATTGCAGTGCCATTCCTTTTCAGTGGCAACCCTACACAGGTAAGGCATGTATCTGCCTTGCAGAGCACAGAGCTCTTTCTGGGTGAAGTTCTGCTTTAACTTTGACAATGAAAGATAAAAGCTGATTGCCATGCACAGCTGCCCCAGTTTTGATAAATTCCCTGCGATTGTATATCTCTTCTGCAATACAAAAACATCCTGTTCACATAGCTACGTTTTTATAGAAAACATTCCAGTCAAAACTGAAGTGCAAGAATCTGAATATCTGTTCTTGAAAGATAACTTCACAGGATAACTTATCAAATATTTATATTTGCCAGTAAAGGTTGAGACTTTACTTGGAGTCTGATAGTTGGTACCCAATCACCTGCTTTTCGGCTCACAGTCCCCTAACCAATCATCTGCGTTGGTATAGCGTTATCAAATAACACATTCCAAATGTTTAGAAAAAATTTAAACAATTACAGTTAGCTGTTACTTGAAGTTGTTTTGCACACTTGAACTCTGGGATAGGTAAAAAAAAATTGTCCATTCGTACACCCCTGCCCAAAACTGTTATTAAAATTTTGATAATCCTTACCCTTTAGGAGAAAAGGCTCATTGAATTTTCATGACCTCATCTTTGTAATTCAAAAGATAACAGCATCTGCTCTGCCAAGGAGGTGATGTAACAGCATCATATCCTCTCCTCTCTCTGCAGTAAAAGGAAACTATAGTTCCCACCAACCACAGGGAATTGTAGTGAATGTGGGTGGGTACATTAGGCCTGTACATGTTGAATGTGTCTTAAGAGTCTCGCTCCGCCTACCACTGCAAGTGGGGCTTAATTACATCACTGCTTCCTGGAGAAAGAACTACAGAAGGGATGTGCCAAGACCAGTGGCATGGGGAATAGGGGGCATAGCAGCGACTGGTCTTACAAACAGGAAACCAAAGAGAATGGTTTGATTTGAAAATGAACCGGCTATTTCAGAGCAACTACGGAGAGAGCCAAAAGATGGATGACAAATTCAATGAAGGTAGGAAATCAGCAACAAGGATAAAGACGTTTTTGCCTGGAGTTCTGCTTTGACTGACAGGGGTGCTGGGAAAAGCCTTATCACAAAAGGTAAGAACAGTTTAAAAAAAAAATGAACATTTTTTTCTTTTCTCACAGCAAATAATTATAATGAAATGATATTGTATACTGTATTTTGAATGAAATTGATCCACCTGACCTTTGAAATTCAGGAATCAAATTCTCTACCTCCTGTAGAGCATAATTAGCAACAGTTGCCTTGGAGCTTGTTTTTGGGGTGTGAGGTTGAAAGTATTTTTTTTTTTTCCTGGCCAGGGGAAAGTAAATTATATGTATCTAATCCATATTTGCAGCACTTAGCCGGCACCTCCTGTGTTGTGGACGCTCCCAATCCTAGCTCATCTGTCACACAGCAGCTCCACTTTCCAAGCATCGCAATCAACCGTTGAGGCTACTATTTTACAGTGATTATCCAATAGTGAGAGATAAATAGAACAAGGAGCAGATGTTTAAAGCCCAACTCCAGAAAAAGTAAACGCACAGCATGGCAAGGGTTAAATGCTCATTTAGGCTCAAGCATGGTAAAAGCACTTTTACTTTCCTGATCCTCTACTTCCTTAGCAAACAGCGCTCCTCTGTACGCCATCAGTGGGCTGTCCTTCAGTGTCCTCTCCTTCAATGCAGGGATATGGTTCCTGCATTGGTCTTGATGACGTCAGAAACATCCAACCACTACTACAGCATGGAGGAGAAAAGACTGCAGGTACCAGTTTAGCAGCACAGGAGTCTGCAGAAGTGGAGGATCAGGTACATAAAAGTACTTTACCTGGTCCACTAGACATAAAAACGTTACCACTTCTGTAGTGCTACCCCTATAGGGCCCACTTGATAATGCTTGTCCCCAGTGGTTGTCCTGACCTTCTGACACCTTCAACACTCTGGTTCAGACATATTTTAACACTATAGAACGGGGCGGACTGACAACTCATGGGGCCCCCGGGCAATAGGGGATCATGGGGCCCCTGTGTCCTTGCTCAAACTCAAAAATGCATATGAAAAAGGTACCAGGGGCATCTCATGGGCCCTCTGACAGTGCCCGAGTTTCCAAATGGTCAGTCCACCCCTGCTATAGAATAATAATGCAAGAGACACGATTCTTTTGTAGCACCTCTACATTAGGCTCATTCAACAGCATAGACCACAGAATGAAGGTTTAGGAGCTGCATCCCCATTAACCAAATAGCAACAGTTAACGTTATATGGGCACAAATGGTACATTGTAACTATGTAACTGCAACATCAGCAGCAGGAAGGGGATGAAAAGGCTTGTTGATTATGCAAATATATATATACTCTGGCATAAATGGGCAGAGACACCCTAATTTTAATAAAAATGGCTTAGATGCAAAGAGGTCCCTTTAACTAGAAATAGCAAATTGAGACCTGAGATGTTTAAAATTCCTGAAGTGATAGTAGCTGTTGTCTTCTTCTAGCAATGGTGGGGCTCACATACAGTAGTGAGTGACGGTAATTCAATGAAGATAACAGGCTGTGGTAAATGCTCAAAGCAAATATATATTTGTTTGGATGGGTAAAGATGTCTGCATGCAGTGCCTCTAGAGTATTGTGAAAAAGAGGTTGGGCATCCACCCGTTCACCAATCCCATGGATAGCAAGGCCTCCAAGGAACAAGGTTCTTGCACAGGCTCTTGGCTCTTTGCAGAAATGTGCAGAGCTACTGCCTGACAGCCTGTCAGTACGACAAGCAGAGATAACTGACTGAAGACTGGATAATAACAGTCCTGATGCAAAGAAGCTGATGTGATCCTGCAGGAATAGTCAGCAATCTGTCTGGAGGAGAATAGCAGCCCCCCTGTGTTCATCTCTGAATCCTGCACCAAGAGCGAATCATTTCTTTGCTGTAGAATACCGTATTTTTCGCTCCATAAGACGCACTTTTTTCCCCCAAAAAAAAGGGGGGAAAATGTCAGTGCGTCTTATGGAGCGAATATGGAGCGGCCGGTCCGTTATTTCCACCGCCGCCGTGTCAGAATACCGGGCTGGCCGCTCAGCTCTACAGCGGGACCTTATAGAGATGACTGCTGACCTTTGGGGAGGGAGGGGGAGCGGGTACCTGAATTTGACAGGTACCCGCTCCCACTTCCGTGGAGTTGTTCTTTCATCTTACCCGTTCCTCTATCCAGCGACGCGGTCTTCCCGGCTTCTGTAGTGTGGGCATGACAGCCGGGTGCCAAGTGCGCATGCGCAGGAAGCGGTGCTTTTTGTGAATGGTAAGGCGGCACCTGGGACACATGACAGATCCCAGAAGCCGCCGGACCAATCACAAAGCGCAAGTGCTTCTCGCTCATGCGCACTGGGCACCCGGCTGTCATGCCAAGCGCCATTACAGAAGCCGGGAAGACAGCGCGCGGCTGGATAGAGGAACAGGTAAGATGAAAGAACAACTCCGCGGAAGTGGGAGCGGGTACCTGTCAAATTCAGGTACCCGCTCCCCCCCCTCCCCGAAGGTCAGCAGTCATCCCCTGTGCTGTCCGCAGTCTCTGGTCATCCCGGTACTGTGTCCACAGTCTCTGGTCATCTCCTGTACTGGTCATCTCCTGTACTGTGTCCGCAGTCTCTGGTCATTTCCTGTACTGTGCCCGCAGTCTCTGGTCATCTCCTGCACTATGTCTGCAGTCCATTAGTTCAGAATTTTTTTTCTCCTGTTTTCTACCTCTAAAACCTAGGTGCGTCTTATGGACAGGTCTTATGGAGCGAAAAATACGGTATATCTGCTCCCCTCGGCAACCTGGTTCACCAGCTCTCTGGTATTTGTAGTTCAATCAGCACTCAGAAATACAGTATGTATTGGCTATAGGACTACAGGTCCCAGGATCCTCTGCTGTCAGAAGAAATGGATCCACTCTACTAACAGAAAGTGATGTAGCAGTCCCAGTGCTGGGCACTAGGGGGAAAACGGATTAACCATAGTCTCATCTGTAAATGTCCCTGAATGGCATAATGATATAGCTGACACCTGGCTACACAAGGCAAGCACAGCCCTGCTGCAAAGAACTTATAATTTTCCCAGAGTTCAGCTTTAACCCAGGAAGCCGAGAAAATACAGGTATATACAGATTACCAGAGTGTGGGTAATTACATCAAATAATGGAACTACTGTGCAAGGTGTTTCCAGCATGGATTAGATACTTACTGTATATTCCACTTCAGGTGTGTTGTTTAGCTTCATAAATATGGTGACATCTCATCCCTGACACATCACTCAACTCATTTTTGCATCCTCCACCGACCAACATATTTTGTCTGTCATAAAAATGCCTGCACATTTATAAAGACTAAACCTTCTGATTCTTTTATACTGCCAGTTATAACTAATTAGGAAAAAAAAGAAAACAGACCCATCTCTTCTGTATAGTGAGTGTTGTTCTTAAAGGTGAAGTTTAGTGCTTATATTTTTTTTCTTTACTTACTAAACAGCACCAGGACACCACTCATCAGCAATTAAGTGTGTCCTGTGTGATGGTGGCTGCTATTTACAGCAAAAATTTCCATTCCTCTGCCGTGGGCGCCTCCACAGCAGTGATCTTCAAGCTATCTATTCACATACTCATGCACTGCAATCCTGCAGCTATGTAGTTGGCCACATTTATAAGTGCAAAAAACACCAAAACCTATTACAAACAATGTTATAAATTAATGTGGCTTTCTATAGCATACTACTCATAATGTACAGTGGGGCAAAAAAAGTATTTAGTCAGCCACCAATTGTGCAAGTTCTCCCACTTAAAAAGATGAGAGAGGCCTGTAATTGGCATCATTGGTAGACCTCAACTATGAGAGACAAAATGAGAAAAAAATCCAGACAATCACATTGGCTGATTTGGAAAGAATTTATTTGCAAATTATGGTGGAAAATAAGTATTTGTCACCTACAAACAAGCAAGATTTCTGGCTCTCACAGACCTGTACCTTCTTCTTTAAGAGGCTCCTCTGTCCTGCACTCATTACCTGTATCAATGGCACCTGTTTGAACTTGTTATCAGTATAAAAGACACCTGTCCACAACCTCAAACAGTCACACTCCAAACTCCACTATGGTGAAGACCAAAGAGCTGTCGAAGGACACCAGAAACAAAATTGTAGACCTGCACCAGGTTGGAAAGACTGAATCTGCAATAGGCAAGCAGCTTGGTGTGAACAAATCAACCGTGGGAGCAATAATTAAAAAATGGAAGACATACAAGACAACTGATAATTTCCCTCGATCTGGGGCTCCACGCAAGATCTCACCCCGTGGGGTCAAAATGATCACAAGAACGGTGAGCAAAAATCCCAGGACCACACGGGGGGACCTAGTGAATGACCTGCAGAGAGCTGGGACCAACGTAACAAAGGCTACCATCAGTAACACACTACGCCGCCAGGGACTCAGATCCTGCAGTGCCAGACTTGTCCCCCTGCTTAAGCCAGTAGGTGTCCGGGCCCGTCTGAGATTTGCTAGAGAGCATTTGGATGATCCAGAAGAGGATTGGGAGAATGTCATATGGTTAGATGAAACCAAAATAGAACTGTTTGGTAGAAACAAAACTCATCATGTTTGGAGGAGAGAGAATGCTGAGTTGCATCCAAAGAACACCATACCTACTGTGAAGCATGGGGGTGGCAACATCATGCTTTGGGGCTGTTTCTCCACAAAGGGACCAGGACGACTGATCCATGTACAGGACAGAATGAATGGGGCCATGTATCGTGAGATTTTAAGTGCAAACCTCCTTCCATCAGCAAGGGCATTGAAGATGAAACGTGCCTGGGTCTTCCAACATGACAATGATCCCAAACATACCGCCCAGGCAACGAAGGAGTGGCTTCATAAGAAGCATTTCAAGGTCCTGGAGTGGCCTAGCCAGTCTCCAGATCTCAACCCCATAGAAAACCTTTGGAGGGAGTTGAAAGTCCGTGTTGCCCAGCGACAGCCCCAAAACATCACTGCTCTAGAGGAGATCTGCATGGAGGAATGGGCCAACATACCAGCAACAGTGTGTGCCAACCTTGTGAAGACTTACAGGAAAACGTTTGACCTCTGTCATTGCCAACAAAGGATATATAACAAAGTATTGAGATGAACTTTTGATATTGACCAAATACTTATTTTCCACCATAATTTGCATATAAATTCTTTCCAAATCAGCCAATGTGATTGTCTGGATTTTTTTTCTCATTTTGTCTCTCATAGTTGAGGTCTACCTATGATGTCAATTACAGGCCTCTCTCATCTTTTTAAGTGGGAGAACTTGCACAATTGGTGGCTGACTAAACACTTTTTTGCCCCACTGTATATTCTTCAATCGTGTGCACAGATACCATACACCATTTCAAAACAGTTATAATCTTTGCTAAGTGTCCATAAATGTCCAAAATTCAACTCTCCCTAGTTGTGTATCATCATTCATATGCAAAGTCTTCCATCCAAACAAATCCTGTATGCCACTCCACCTCACACTGTGATTTCAATTTCACCAGTGTGCTACATCATGAAAAGGTTCCCTCTTCGAAGACCACCAGTTGTGCTCTCAGCTTGTTTGAAGGATCCAATATTATTGAGGTCCAAATAGCACTTTTACCTTCAAGGGGTTAAACATCTTTATCCTGGATGGCTTCTGATCAAGCCTACCCTGGTAGATCACTCTCCCCCATCAGTTCATCCACTCTAAAGTAAGAAAAAAGGCTCATAGTGCTCACTGTATCACACATTTATCTAAAAATTACTAAGCAGTACATTCATGTGAAATAAAATTTGTGATGTGATGTCATAAAGCTCAACACTATGCATTATGTATGGAAAAACCCTCATTTTTGTGGGATTTTAAAGGCACAGACAAAACCAGTAGAATCATTAGATAAGTAATAATTTTTACAGACCATATTTTACTTATACAAAATATTAAAATGAACATAAACACACAAGAAATGGTGGTAATACATTACATAGCTGTTGCAATAAATGCATGGGTGAGAGAAACAGAGAAGAATTCATGCAAGCACTTGATGCGTTTTGAGACGAAAAATAATCTCTTCTTCAAAAGTGCCTAAAAAGCATGATACCTGTAATGGATATATAATTATAATCACATCTTCATATAACTCCAATAGGAGTTACAATCACAAGTACAAGGATATCACTTACATAGCCCAACATATGAGCAGAGAACATGAAAACACTGCCAGTTGGATAAAACCAGAGATAACGTAGATGAGGCCAATATTTCCAAGATCCTCCGAACCAGATAAAGAGAGGAAGAAGGGAAAAGAAGAAAGGGCGCTGCCCCACTTACGTCCAAGAGAAACCACTTCACTGACCCAACTGGGTGACAGATAGGAATGCCCCATTCAAAATTATGATTTCTATGAAAATATATAAATGAGCAATAATAAAGATAGGACAAACAGTAATGGTGCACTTAAAATGAAATGAAAAAAACAAAGTCACTGTTATAGGAACAAAAAAGATGTGGCCGCTGTGGACCACCATGAGGTGATAGGCTGTTCTTACCAGGTTAATTTGTAAAGGACTATGATTGGTGCAATCATAAGCCATCTGTTTGTTATATAAACTCCATCTTGTGGGTCCGTAAGTTGCATGTGCAGCCAGTGGACAGGTCATCCATCTTTCTCTCCGACTTGGTAGGTCTCAATCTTTGGATACTTTGGAATTGACTTAGTGGCACGTTAATATGGCATCTTTTGAATGAATTGTGATTTGATTTTTTTATAGACTCAGCAATGTCAACGAATTGTCCCATTTCATTAGGACTTTGACAACATACAACTATATAATTCTGAGTATGATTTGTCACATCTCCACTCTCAGTAAGGTGGGTCCGTGAAGTGGTTCTGTGACCTTTACCCTCTCAGTGCATGATTCCACCATCTGTTGTAACTGTGGAAACCCCCTCTTGGGCCCCCCCCTGAAAACCCTATTATGCCAATTGCCTCTGCCAAAAATGCATTCTGTAATTGGAAAAACCCCTTATGGATCTTCCTTGTCCATCTCTATGAAACTCTCTCTGATGTCCATACCGATGAAAACCTCTCTCTGGGGTCTTTGTTCAACACCTCTCTGAAACTGAACCTTACTCTTAGATGGTGATGTACCTTTAATGGTTTTATCTGAATTAACTTGTTGAGGAACAGTATCAACCTTTTGATCTTTTTTCTGGTGTCGATTGTTTGGAATCACAGTCAACTGACATCAGATCTTCATGCCATCTATACACCTTATTGGTTTTATAATCATCTGTATCCCTTATATATTTCTTTACTTTTTTAATTACTGATCTGCTTATCAATAGATTCATAGAGAATGGTCATAATAAAGTTTTTTTGGAAAAAGAAAAAGAGAACATCAGATTAAAGGATAGAGAAGCACTCCTGGTGAATAAGAGTAACAAGAATAGAATATATATAGAAAGAATAAATCATTAAGAACTAAAATCAGACATAATGTTATTGATCCACCTAGGTCTGTTAGGCTATTCCCCGAATTGGGAGGCTTTTATCATTGCAATAGATGTAAAGCATGTAGAA